CACACACAGACATGCATACACACAGAAACGCACATACAGACACACACACAGACACACATACATAGACACACACAGACACACACACAGACACATACACAGACACACACATGCATTGTGGTCGTTGGTTTTGGCAGCCCTAGGAGACTGACACATTAAGGAAGGCTGGACTCTGACAAGGATGCTTAGGACCCATGGTCCTTGATGGGTCCTGCAGCCTAGACCAATGAGGACTGCTAAGGAGCAGAGTTCCCTCACACCAGGCGCCACCCTAGACCTCGGGACCCCAACCTCAGGGGCTGGGGAGCCCCCATGATGTCTTTTAGTCGTCACCAGTCCAGCAAGATGGAGATCTATGATTTTACACGTTGATTTTAAGAACATAACAACATGTAATTTAACCAGGGCTTCTGGGCTGAGTCATGTCTGCTATATAGGCTTCCTAAGGAGGAATACTGGAAGAAAACAAGTAAGAAACATACATGGGGACCACATCAAGGAGGATCTAACTGCTAGGCTCAGAAGTTGGGATTTACTTCCCTGGGCGATGGGAGCCATTGAAGTTTTAAGGGTTTTGAGCTTGGGAGTGACTAGGAGGAAGGGAAGGGGCATTCAGGAAAATGAATCTGGCTGTAGTTGTGCATCAGTTATCAAGTGTCTGGCTGCAAATGAGAAAACCATGACCCAAAGTGGCTTAAACCAAAGAATTGTATTGCCTCATACAACAGAGAGTCTAAAATGCAGTCTTCAGGTATGGTGTGATCAGGGCTCTAGATCTAGTTAGCTTTGACTTGGCTTCCTTCATGGGTACGAGATGTCTTCCAGGGAAGCTGAGTTTAAAATACTTCCTTGCTCATGTCCAGTTGGAGACAAAGAGAAGCTTCTTAGGGCTTACTCTTAAGAACTTCTTTCCTAGAAGACCGAAGTTTATTTCTCTCTCTCTATTTTTTTTTTTTTTGGTGTAGAAGATTGACCCTGAGCTAACATCCATTGCTATCATCCTCTTTTAGCTTGAGAAAGATTGTCCCTGAGCTAACATGTGCCGCTCTTCCTTGATTTTATATGTGGGATGCCACCACAGCATGGCCTGATGAGCAGTGTTTAGGTCCACATCTGGGATCTGAACTGTGAACCCCTGGCTGCCAAAGAGGAGCACGCAAACTTAACCAATATGCCACCAGGCTGGCCTCTCTCTTTTTATCTTGTTGGTCCAAATAGGGACTAAATTTACTTATTCCAAAGCCAATTTCTGGCAAAGAGATGAGAGTGGTCATGGTTGGCCAAGACTAACCCACTGCCTTAGCATGGATGGTCTAATCTATGTATTGCAGAGTGCATGGTTCCACATAATAGTTCTGCTGATTCACATGCCCCCAAGATTCTCGGGGTTGGAAGGGGGCATAAGGGTCATGAGTCCTACATCCCTGTGAGGAAAAATCTCCCGCATGGCTCTCCTTCCACACGTTTACCCTTGAGGTGCGCACATGCTGCCTGGGTGGCCCATTCACGGCTGGATGGTTGACCCATTACCTGATGAGGCCTACCAATCAGAGTCTGCTCCCAGACAAACTGACACCCGGAGTGGATGGACAGTGGGACGTGAAGCCGAAAGGACTGTTTTGCCACTTGCCACAATGTGCAGGGGCTGGGACCACAAACATGCAGAATGCTTTTGGGGCAGACCCCACGGCTTAACAGAGAAAGCCTATGGGCAGGGAGAGAACAGAGCCGAGAGAGGGGAGGCGAAAGAGTGGGAGAGAGCCAGCCAGAGCCAGACAGACAGGCTGTTTCTCCTGCCAGCTTACCTGCATGTCCACATCACCCCTGTTTATCTAAGGAAAGTTGGGCCAGTCCCTCATAATCCTAAGAGCCCTAAGTCCAACACTGTCCAAACACAAAACACCACGTGCCCAGCAGCTCTGAACTCACCTTTGACAAGCAAGGCAGCCCCTTTCTTTTTTGCACAATCACCCAGATGGCATCAGAACCCATTATCTTTCCACTTCGATGTACCAAGAAAGGGGGTGGGGAAAGGATGAAATCAATTTCCTTAACCTTTATTACTGAGAACTTTGCCTCTGCCCGAAAAACGTGCAGGGAGGGGCTAAGCATTAAATCAATGTCAGGGCTAGGGGGTGGAGGGTGCAGACACGCCCAGTAATGATGATTCCCTGTCGTTCTCCAGCATGCACGCACACTCAGGGTGACAACGATGAATGCTCGCACACACGCCCCTGACACAGAGCTGGGATCTGGGCTCCCGGAAAGGTGCAGGGGTGTCTGAAGTGCTGCTTTCATGGAATGCCCCAATTCCAGAAAAACAGGGAGAGGGGAGAGGCCCTCTCTGCTACCTGGTAAGAAATACATTGTACAGAAAGGAAGTGGGGCTGGAGAAGGCCTTGCCATCTTAACCCATCAGACTGGGAAATGATGCATCGATGTACAACTTCTTATACAGATAAGGGATGATTCACGCTTGTTTCACTGTAGTCACTTCCTAAGAAATTTCCATCTCACTGTGGAGTCATGTAGGGGAATTGCCAAGAAGCCAGGGCTGAAACCGAGAGCTGACTTCGGTTCTTGGCTGCAAAGCAGAACAGCTGGATGATCTGGGGCCACTTTACCTGCCCAATCGGATTCTCTCTCCAGACTCCACTAGGACATCATAGTATAGTCTTAATTATGACAGCATTTTCTATTTTCCAAAGTGCTTTCCTGTACATTATTTTATTTGATTCTTGCAATAAACAACACTTCTTTATTAATTCACTCAGGAACTCTTTATTGAGCATCTATGGTGTACCTGGCGGGACATGAGCGCTGCAGTCAGCAGGGAGCAAAACGCAATGCATTCCCGGTCCACAGCAAGCTGTCAAACCAGAAGGCAAAAGCCACCAGCTATACAGTCATGGAGATCAACAGGACGCTGCAGGCAGCTGTCCCCATGAGGACAGCAGGATGACCTCTCTTGTATTTAGGACAAGGACTTGGGCACAGATGATGCTCCAAGGGACCCCTTCAGGGGCTGAGTCTGAGGGGTCCATGAAGGAAGGTTCCCCTGGCTGGAAGATGCTGTTGCAGGAGAGAACTTGATGCTCCCAGGAAACCTCTCTGCTCCCCTCCTCCCACTGCTAAAGAATTTTGGGGATTGCAAGGTGCAGGGAGCATCCTGACTCACATCACAGAGCAAAGCCCAAGAGATGCTTCCAGGCAGCCGAAGGGCTCACCCCTCATCTAGAACCAAAACAAAACCCAATAGGGTCAGGCAAGAGGTCTCAGGGGGGGTCATGAAACACCCAAAACTTTTCTTTCGAACTCAAGGAGGGCAGGACTCTTAGCCAGGTGGCAGGCCCCCACTGTCCTGGGCACGGCTCCTTGAAGAATTCTTGCAGATCCACGTGCCCTTTGTTTTATTGTTTTGTTTTGGCTTTTTCCCCTGACTCCTGCTCTTTGCATCTCTCTACTATTTTCCGTCCCCTTCTCTTAGCGAATTTTCCCATTCGTTCCCCTCCCCCTCCTTTTTAATTAGCTCCCCTTCTACTTCTCTGAATATTTCTCCTTTGCTCCCCCAAGTCCCAGAAGTCCTCCCCAGTGCCTCCATCCCATCCTCCCCTGTGCTGTGGGCAGGGTCCCGGCACTGGAGAGGTCCACCACCCACACAGCTAGCTCACTTTTATGGGGCACTTACTATCTACCAAGTACAGTTTTAAGGGTTGGACATGTAGGAATTCACTTAATCATAACAACCTTGGGGAAGGGACAGTAATGAGACCCATTTTCACAGGTGAGGAAACTGAGGCCGGGAGCTAGGAAGCTTGGGGATTCAGTAACCAGCCTAAGCTCACACATCCAGTGAGTGGCAGTGCAGGATCTGAACCAGGAAGTCTGGTCCAGCGGCCCTGGCCTGAAGCATAGGCTGCATCATCCTTCTGGTGAATGACGGGCCAAAGAGCTTTCTCCCTTTGCATTGCAAAAGGCTGCCTTCTCCAAGCTGGAAGAATTAACTGACCCCTAGGCCAAGCTGTGCCTCTTCCCTTTAGGATTCCTCAGAAAAGTTGCAAAAAAGTCCCAATAAGGGGATAAGAGCTGTAAAACCAGATTGTTTTTAATGCCTCTTAAGCCTTGTGTCCAGCATTTAGCCTCTAAGACCGGCATTCTGCCACTGAGCAAGATGTCTCCCCCGCCCTGACTTTCTTATAAAGGAGGAAGGGCAAAAATGCCGCAAACCTGGCCCCCAAAGGGGGTCCCGCTGTCCGAAGCCCCAGTCTCAGGCCGCCTGGGGGGCGGCCCCTGCCTGGGTACCGGCGCTAAGTGCTCGCCCTGCTCTGGACCGCGCTGCAGCCTCCGCATCTGGGAGGCACTCGGCGGCGGGCGGGGGCCGGACCGCGGGGGCCGCTCTGCGCCTCGGAACCGGGCCCGGTTCGGGCCTCAGCAGCGCCCCAGCGCACCGCGCTCCTCCCCTCTCCTCCCCAATCCCACCTCGGGTCCCGCGCCCTTAGAGGAAGTCGGTGGCTCGGCCCAGTCGCCAGCAGGGGGATCGGCCCCTTCTCGCTGCGGTGCACCCGACTCGGGCTGTTCTGGGCACCGCCACGTCCTCTCGGTGGGCGCCGGTCGCCTCCTCCCGGGGCTGACCCCACGGGCCTCCGGGCCACCAGGCCACTCTTCCTTAAGCCTCGCCAGCTTGTGGGCGGCGGCCTGGGCGCGATGTGTCACAGAGCTGTCCCCGCAGAGCGCCTCTCGGGGCGGCAGGCCGGTCCCCGCGCTGCCCCCGGCGTCTCCGCGGCTGGGCCTCCGCCGAGCCGGCTGCGGTCCACGTGGCTCCGGAGGAAGCCCCGAGCGAGCCGAGAGCCGAGCGGCGCTCGGGTGGGAGGGGGCCGGCGGGGCGGAGAGCCGCGGCGCCGGGGGCGGGCGCGGGGC